AAATCAAAGACAGCATTGAGACTCTGAGTATTGTGTGTAATGAAATTCTACATTGAACACCAGGAATCGGAAACAAGAGGCAGCTCTTCTGAATGAAGTGTCCATTGAAATAGGAGGGTCAGTTCCTGGTACAGGCTGCCATATGCATGTGCATCTGTTGCACCGGTTTAATCTTGATTCTTTAGATGTTTAAGGGCCATAAGGAGTCATGAGATGGATTAACTAGAACACAGAAGAAGTTCATTTGATTGCAGTACTCATAGCCTGAATCCTTTGGCAGAATTGTTCTCAGACATATACCTGGAAAAGTGATCTAATTTTTATGAGATTTCAAAAATGTCATAGGAAAGCACTCTAGTTTCATTACGGTATTTTCATTCACACACACACATATCATTATACTTTGTTCTTATTCTATTCTTATTCGTCCCTTTCCCCCCTCTTGAGCTTCTTCTTCCCCTTTAACTCCATGCTTCCTTGTATAATGCTTGCTCCTCCCTTCCCAGTTAAATACTCATTCTCCCCTTGGCAACACCTGTCTCCTACTGTCCCCCATTATTAATTACTTTTCTGTTGCTGTGATAGAAACACTGACCAAAACAACTTATAAAAGGAAGAATTTATTTGAGCTTAAGGTTCCAGGGGAGGAAGAACCGATGACCCCTTCACTCTTGCATCTTTCATGCCTCTAAACCCAGTACCAAGTGAACAACACTGCCAAGTTTGGCAACAAGTTTGGGATGGGCCCCAGACTGCTTTATCCTATTTTTAGAAGCTTTTCTCTTCAGTGGCTACTGTAGCAGTTTCCTTTTGCAAGTTGGAGGCTTAACTGGGTGTGGTCTTGCCCTGGAGGCACTCTCTCCACTGTTTAAGTGCAAGTCTCTTTGCCCCTCCTAAGCCACTTTAATCTCTTTATCAATGGGATCCTCTCCAACACCTGCCTGGGCTCCAACATTACCTTCCTAGTGCTCTTTTTCAGTCCATCCTGTACATGCTGTATTCCTTTCTGCCTCATTTGCTCTTTTTCACTGTAAATCTGTATAATAGTCACCTTATAGTCATACCACCATTTCTCCATTATGCTGTCTTGAAATTTCTTCTGCCAGAGAAATTAGTCCATTGCTTTTCAACTTAGCCTCAGGCAAGCTTTTAGGCTATCTGCAGACTCCAGCCAGGCTCTTTGCCAAAATATTCCAGTCCCTGCTTAAGTCGTCTTTTCTCTCTGGAGCTACATTGTTCTCAGCACTTCTTTCTTCCAGGCTCCTGCTGGAATGGCCTGTTAAGCTCTGCTTACAGCAATCAATTGCTTTTCTAGTACAAGCTTCCAAACTCTTCCATATTCTTCCCAACCCCCACATGATCAGGTTCTTCACAGCCAATAGCCCGCTCTCTGGTACCAATTACTGTATTAGTTACTTTTCTGTTGCTGTTATAGAAACACTGACCAAAAGAACTTATAGAAGGAAGAATTTATTTGAGCCTACAGTTCCAGGGGAATTACAGTCCATCATGGCCAGGATGCATGGTGGCAGAGGTGGCTGGAGGAGGAGCAGAAGCTAGGCTCTACATCTTCAGACAGGCACAGGAAGCAAGGGAGCAGCTGGAGATCTGGCAAGGCTTAAGAACTCTCTAAGCCCACTCCCAGTGACATGCTTCCTCCAGGATAACCACACCTAAGAGCCCCCCTCTCTTGGGGTCCTTCTTTCCCTTTACCTCCATGGTTACTTTCCATTTTCCTGACTCCTGTGTTTACATCTCAAATATCTCCCATAGACTCTTGTGTTTGAATTACTGATTCCCAGCAAGTGATGGTGTTTGGAGGAAATGGAGAATCTTTGGGAAGTGGGACCTAGCTCCAGAAAGCAGTTCACTGGGTGTGGGTGGGGTTGGGTGATTACCAATACATTGTAAGCAGCCATATCTTGCCACCATGCCTGTCACTCAAAATCTTATCCACATGAACTCTTCATTCCTAAGCTGCTATCTGTTTGGCATTTGGTTGTAGTGACTAGAGTAACTAATACACTTCTCTTGAACGAAAATTAAGAAAACTCAGTGAGGAGTATGCCTGTCATTCGTTGCTTCATTTCTTGCTCTGACCTCACAGAGAGTCATTGTGAGGAGTGGCTGATCCCTGCCTATATGATGAGCTGGTTGGGCTGAGCTGTGTCCTTCTAGTGCAGAGAGCTGACTGGTGGTGATCTGCAGGACTCGGACGTTGGTGAATTTTTGGACTTTGACATTGGCGATTTTTTTGGACTTGGATTTTGGTGAATGCGTAGACTTGGACATTGGTGAAATTCTGGACTTGGATTTTGGTGACTTATCTTACTTGGACATAGCTTGCTCCTCGCCTTACTGGCTGTGGTTTGCAGGTAATGGTTTTGGTATTTTCATTTTATGTTTATGTTTTTGTTGTAGATCTTCCCTTTGGATATTTTTAACTATTCTTCATTAACTGTCCTCCACTTTTCTTTTTCAAACTACTCATTCTAGTCCTTTTGTACTTTTTGAAAGTTTTTATAAGTAAACATTAAGGGTAGAGTAAGGACTTCATGATGACATTTCCATACATGCAGAGAACGTACTTGCTAATATTCACGAGCTCTATTACACTTAAACTCCCTCCCCTTCCCCTTCCCCATCCTGAATATTTCCCCTTTTACTTTCAGGAGCCCCCACACCCGGGATTCTGCATTTGAAACAGGTGAGCAATATTTGTCTTTGTGGGACTGGCTCATTACACTCAATGCAATGCATTTTTTCTGAATATGACAGCATTTCTTTCTTTCTATGACTATGTGATTCTTTCCTTTGATTCTGTTCCCGTGCTGTCTTAGTCATCAGTTGGTGTATGTTGCAATCCTTGCCTGACTGGTTGAACCTATCTTCATCGTGAAGTATGGCCTTTTTATATGCTGTTGAATTTGGTATAAAGGATTAAGTACTCTCCTTTAAATTTTTAATCATGTGTATATGTCTGTTTGGGTGAGCGGGCAGATGTCTGAATGGGCCAGAGGTGTTGGATGCCCCAGGAGCTAGAGTTACAGGTGGTCGTGAGCTGCTCAGCGTGGTTGCTGGGAATTGAACTCAGGTCCTCTGGAAGAGCAACAAGTGCTCTTAGCTTCTGAGCCATCTCTGCAGCTCACTACTAAGTACCCGTATGAAGGTTTGTTGCGTATTTGTTCTCCAGGGGTATTGGATACTTTTCTCTTATGAATATATCTTCAGCTGGTTTTGGTACTGGGAAATAATGGGCTTCATAGGGAGAATTTAGAAGCACTTCTTCCCATTCTATCTAATGGGATAGTTTGAGGAGCACTGCTTTTAGTTCTTCTTTAAAGGTCTGCTGAAATCATCAGTGGTAATTGTGGTAATATCACCTCCTTTTGTCTCCAACATTATTAATTTGTGCCTTCTAGTTTTCTATTGATTACTTTTGCAAAGGTTGGTCAATTTCATTTATCCTTCAAAATCATCACGTCTTTGTTACATTGATCTTTGTGTTGTGATTTTCCTTAATTTCCACTCTGATCTTGATTATTTCTTCTACTTTTTGGGGTTTAACTGATTCTTGCTCCTAGGACCCTAACATGCTTCATTGTGTTGTTTTGAGTCTCACTTTTCAGTTCAGGGACTTATAGCTATAAATTTATGCCCTAGACCTGATTTTAATTCATTTTTAATCTTATATCACTAGCCAGTGTTGAAACTGATCATCTGACCTAACAAAAATGCAGAGGTATTCACTGAATCGAAATCTCATTACTAGCTCATATGATGAAAATGACTTAAGAGAGCAGTATAAGATCATGAGGACCCTGGGCCGCGGAAGCTTAGGGGAAGTAAAGCTTGCCGAACATCTCAGCACACAGACCAAAGTGGCCATAAAAATTCTTCATAAGTGCAAGAGGGATCCCCACCATAAATCAGAAGTAGAAATTATGAAAGACCTTGATCACCCTTATGTTATTAAGATGTTCCAAGTGATCGAAACCACATATAACACCTACATGGTTCTTGAGCATGTGGCAGGTGGAGACCTGATGAGAAGGATTGAGAAGGAGGGCCATCTAAAAGAGGAGGTGTCTCGTAGGGTATTTAAACAGCTAGTATGTGCCCTACACTATTGCCATGGGAATGGGATTGCCCATTGGGACATAAAGCCGGAAAACATACTATTGGACGAGCACGACAATGTTAAATTGAGTGATTTTGGGTTAAGTGTCAAACTTACCTACAGGCAGCAGAGGCTGGCATCTTTCTGTGGCACATTCTCCTACTGCGCCCCAGAAGTCTTTGAGGGCAATGGGTACGACAGCTTCGCAATTGATACCTGGAGCTCGGGTGTTGTACTCTATTACATGTCTACGGGGTACCTCCCTTTCCGGGGTTATACCTACGAAGGTATAAAGCAGAGTGTCCTGAAAGGCAAGTACATCACTGAATTCAAGCTGTCGCCAGACCTTTGGGAAGTGATCACTAAGTCGCTAACTGTAGACCCCAGAAAAAGGCCAACAATAGGTGATATTATGAACTTTGCATGGCTAGAGAACAATGATGGATGTTCTCTCAGTTTAGCTGAAGAGAACAGCGACAGCCAACTGGACCCCATTGTCATGGTGATCATGAATGACATGGGGTACAACTCAGAGGATATAAAGGAAGCTTTACAAAAGAAAAACTTTGATGATACTATGGCGACATACTTGCTTCTGAGGCAAAAGTCACCCTGGAAGGACACCTTAATGAAAACCGTGATGCCCTGGGAGCCAGGTGAAAACCTGAACCTTGTAGAGCCCCCCAGCTTTCAACTGGGCCTCCAGAAGGCATCTAGTGCCCTTACCGGTCCCATCATTTTGCCCACTCAATCTGAACTTCTGGGTGATGAAAAGAAGATTGGTAGAAGCCCTAATATTCCCTGCCTACACCATACTTACAAAACCTCTATGCAGTATGGTCTTGACACTCAATGTATGAGCATCAGCATCAGCGGGGAGATGGGGAGAAGGAGCATCTGTGGGGAGATGGGGAGCACCACCTCTGAGTGTACACCATCAGCCATCTCAAAGCAGTCATCCCAGGATGTGGCCACAGCTGATACTGACAGCTTGAACAGCATGTCTCCACAGGATATGTCACCTTAGGTCTCCTGGGAGGAATCCTGCTGTGTGTACACCAGCACGGGTGACAAAGACAGCAACTTATCCACCGAAATACCTCAGGAGCACGTTGATGGGCAGCCCCCAGAAGTTAGCACAGTTGTCACTCCCACCTGTAAGAGCAGCACCTCCTCATGGCACACGGTACATGTCTTCACCAGGGAAGGAGCCCTGTGTGAGAACATCACCACTCATAACAGAGACAACAGCTCATCCCCAACAGAAACACCTCAGGACCATGGTAGTGGGCAGCCCCAGGATGTGACCAGAGCTGTCACTCCCAACTCAAAGAACAGCACATCCTCCCAGGATAGATCACTTCTCATCTCCAGGGATGAAGCTGAAACAAAGAAGAGCACCAATCAATACAAAGGCAGCAGTTCATTGGCCCCACAAAGCTCACCTGCCCCACAAAGCTCACCTGCCCCACAAAGTTCACCTGCCCCACAAAGCTCACCTGCCCCAAAAAGCTCACCTGCCCCATGAAGCTCACCTGCCTCACGAAGCTCACCTGCCCCACAAAGTTTACCTGCCCCACAAAGCTTACCTGCCTCACAAAGCTCACCTCAGGAGCACTTCAGTCGCCAGCACCAGGCTGTGCCTAGAGCCCCTCTAAGAAGGAGGATCTGGAAGGGCCTGAAGACAAGGGTCACAAAAAGTGTGAGGAATTTGTGCTGCTGTTGCTTGCCTGCCCAGGCGAGGCAGCACCTAGGAAAAAACAAAGTTGTAGACAGGAATGAGGACCAAGGAGACAGTGGCAAAAACAGGTCAGTGGAGTGGCTGCAATGCACTTCTGCGTTTATGCTAATGTCCTTTTCTTAAAAAGAAAAACACTTCTGTGTGTATTTGTTTGTATGT